GCATTGTATCTGAAATAATACAGTAAAAATAATGACAGAGTGGGTGTTATATACAGGATTTTGCTTACAAAATGCACCTACAAATGCAGAAAGTCAGCATGATTAATGCTTTCTTTGCCATCCAACCCTCCCTACCACCGCCATCAAATAGCTATTTTTGTTATCTATCAGAACCTAACTCTCCCTGTATATTATTATCAATACCAGAGTGAGTCTAAGGATGTTGTAAGTATTATGTCTGGGTATGAGGGGGGAAGGGTGGAGACATGAATGGAGATGAAATGTTAAGTGCACATCCAGAAAACAAAACCAAAAAAATTTAACAAAGAATATGTCCCAGTCTGAGCTCAGAATGAATTTGCTAGGGACCCTGCTGAGCAACCTTCGTGTAAGGTTTCAAAGCTCAGTAGTTTCTCTACTTTGTGATTCACCTTCATTTTCCCCATGCATTTGGTTTTTTTTTTCTGTCTGCAAATTTGAGGAAATAAGCCATAACCCTGTTTCTAATCAGTTATCTGTTGGATTTAATCCAATAAGAAGTCTCAGAGAGGAACATGAAAGAAAGGGAAAAGCTGTTTCAGCTTCAAAGGTACTGAAAAAAGACTCTACCTACAAAGGCCCTCCACCACCACCCCTTCCCCACTGACTGTAACCCATTCCCTTACACCAGACCACAGAAATGCGTATTTCAGAGCATGATGTCATCAACATTGAATTTGAGGGGTCAATGAGGGCTGGGACGGAGGAGCTCAGTTGAGAGATGAGGGCTGGGAACTGAAGGGGAGGAGGTAGGATGGACAAGAACGGTTAGGAAAACCACAAGAAGTCCATCAACTCCTGGAAATGGTCATATTCTAAATAAATCTCACAATCCATGGAATCACCAGGCTGGGTTACACAGTCCTAGACCCTGACAGGCTCATCTAGGTCATTAGAATTTCGAGATGCATCAATTTGGGGGATTATCTAGTCCAACTCCCTCTTTTTACAGATAACTTTCAGCCTCAAGTCATTGCATACCTGACTTAGGGCCTAGAGCTCCCAAAGCATGCGAGCCGAGAACCTCACGTGTCAAGTCTCTTACAGCTCCACACCAACTTTCAGTAGCTCAGGACATCTGAGGGTATCCCAGGGTATATGTGGGCAGAGCTAAGATTCTCCATCAAGCTGTCAGGATACCCACCAGGTTTTGGAAGCCTTCCCTTAGCCCTGCTCCAACTTGGGGTTTTACATTGTGAAGGGTGGGAATCAAACTACTCTAATATGATTTCAGGCACCAGAAATTCCTGGACCATGCATATTTGCAAATCACTAGAGCCCTGGGTTCTGGTAGATAATGGGGCTGAATCACACTCCTCTTTTCTGAGTTTCTGATCTTCATCTTTTGCCTCCCCATGCCAATCTTCCCTTACCAAGGAAAAAAAAAAGATCCTTTTTTCCCCACTTTGCAAAGTGTTGTTTCCTGAAAGCAATAATGGGTGGGTCATGGGGCCTTATTTTCAGGAAACTGCCAGAGATGGCTTAGGAAAAAGGCAATCAATCTCCCCACAACTCAATAATAAGTCCTGTTATTACTTGGTCAGATTTTCATCCCAACTGTCTGTGTTAGTATTGGGGAAAGGTCATATTTTCCCATTTGACCATTTTGATTGAGTAGCTATGGGTATCTATTCCATTCTAAAACAGCTTCCTATTTCCTAGGGGAGAAATAAGGGATCAAAAAAAAAAATCTAACAAAGATGAGGATAGAAAAAAAAAAGTCAGGGTAACCAGCTGCCTTGTCTCTTAGTGTTATCAAAAAAGAAAGAACAATTCAAAATTTATTTTGCCTCTTTCATCCATATGTTCCACAGGATTCAAAATGGTCTCCAGATGTTTGCTTTCCAATCATTTTCTCCCCAATTCATCCACCTTCCCTGTATTTTTTCAAATCTAATTTAAGGAAAGAGAAAGGGGTGAATGAAAACTATGTTTTATAGCAAAATTGCAACTGACAAATGCACCTCTATCTTAGGAGATGGAAGAAAAGAAAAGAGGAGAAAGAGGAAGATGGGAAACAAGTATAATTGCAAGTAAACTTGATGGAATAGTTAGGCTCCATAGGAAACTACAGATATGAAGGATTCAGAAGAGCTTGGGAAGAACATTCAAAAGCAGCAGTACTCTGATCATAGAGGTGACCAACTTTGACTTCCAAAGACTGATGGTGAAAAAAACCTTAGTCTCAGCATAGAGGTGGTGGACTACAGGTGCCAAATGCTGCATGCATTGTCAAATATGGCCAATTTGTGTGTTTGTATTGCTTGACTATACTTCTTCGTTACAAGGGAGGGTTGGGAGAGAGGAATGACTGGTATGATTGCTTTTTTTTAAACATCTATAGAATATTAATTTTTTTTTAAATACAACAATCAATCTTGGTCCCAAAGTAAAGGTGATTGAGCACACTTCCCTCCTCAGTAAAAAGTGAATGGGAGGGAGACCTATGGATGCAGAATGTTGCTATTCTCATCAGATGCAGGCATTGTATTTTGCTTTGTTACAACAGAAGGCTCTATCAGAAGCTGAGCATATCAGGATGACTGTGGAATTTTTTTTAAAAAAAGACATCAATAAAACTTTGCTTAACCTTTTGGATAACCAAAGGAAGGGTTTTCTGCTTATTTCAAGTATATTTTTATACTTATATGTTTAAAGTATATTTTAAATGACAATTTTCATTTCTAGAACGTAACATAAAATAGAATGAAGAGTCTGGAGAACTGGGTTCTAGTTCCTGTTGTTCAGTTGTGTCCAATGCTTCTTGACTCCATTTGGGGTTTTCTTGGCAAAGATACTGGAGTGCTTTGCCATTTCTTCTCATTTTACAGATGAGGAAACTGAGGCATACAGGGTTAAATGACTTGCCCAGAGTCACATATCTAGTAAGTGTGTAAAACTGGATTTGAACTCAGGTTTTCCTGCCACTTAGCTGCCCTATACTTGTATACGTCATCTCTACAAAATCTAATCTCCAACCTCAGCACAACTTCCAATTACTCCATCTCTCTCTGTTTTTCCCAATCACTTCACTTTTCTTCTTTTAGAATCTTGACCTTTTAATTAAGCAGTTAACCATCTCTTTCCTAGAATCCCTTGCCCCCAAGTCTTATCTTTATTTAGCCCTTTCAAAATCCAAACCCCCTGAATTACTCCTGTCATTCACCTCCTACTAACATGCCAATGAAATTACTAGGGGAAGTTACAAAACTCATCCATTACCAATTTAAGTTACGTATCTCATCTGAGCCCTCACAACTGGATGCTAATCCTTTTATTTTTGCCTGATTGATTCTCTCTGGACTCCCCATGGCATCTGTCCTAAATGTTTTCTTTTCTTCTTAGATCAGTTATACAACCTCTCACCTTTCAGCAGGAGAAAGGTAGGAAGGAAGGAGGGAAGGAAGGAAGGAAGGAAGGAAGGAAGGAAGGAAGGAAGGAAGGAAGGAAGGAAGGAAGGAAGGAAGGAAGGAAGGGAGACAGGGAGGGAGGGAGGGAGGAAGGAAGGGAGAGAGGGAGGGAGGGAGGAAGGAAGGAAGGAAGGGAGAGAGGGAGGGAGGGAGGAATCCCCTTTTCATGGATACAATCCAGGACTCTATCCTGGTCTCTCTTCTCTTCTCTCTCTACTCTCTTTCTTGGTGACTTCAGCTCCCATTGGTTCCCCTATCATCTATACCAATGACTCCAAATCTACGTTTCTAACCCTCACTTCCCTCCCTCAGTCAATTAATCAATAAGTATTTATTAAGCACTTTCTATGTGGACCTATATCACAGAGCTAGTAAGTGTTTTAGGCAGGGTTTGAACCCAGGTCTTCATGACTATGAGTCTAATCAATGCTTATTAAATGTTATTTGGTTAACTGAGTGACTTTCAGCAAATCATTTTGCTTTTCCAGGCTTCAGTGTCCTCAACTGTAAATGTGGGTTTTGGGCTAGATAACCAGCAACAACAACAACAACGATAATATCAACATAATAATTCACTAATCTAAATGTATATGCATGTGCCTAAATATGGATTTATGATAGCAACTGGACGTGTGATATTTCACTAGTATAGAGAATTTCCAGGTAAGGAACTCCATCTATTTTGAGGCCAGCTCTTTATCCACTATGCTACAATGCCACTAACATAAATAATATATAGGGATATGTATACATATAGTATGTGTGTATATGAATACACATGTATACATCATATATGTATGTATATACATATATGGAGGACAAGATAGAGGGAGTGTAAGAGGATCAAATTTCTAAAATCAACCCTGTGAGGAAGGCAAAGCAGGTATTATCCCCATTCTGCAGATGGGAAAACTCAGAAATATGACTTGCCCAGCATTACACAGCTGGTAAATTAGAGAGCAGTCAGGTATGGTGGTACATGCCTGTAATTCCTGCTGCTGAGGGGAGGCTGAAGATGGTGGGTCACTTGAGCTCAGAAGTTCTGAGTTGTAGTAGGGCTAATGCTAATCAGGTGTCCATACCAAGTGCTACACCAGTGTCATCAGCCTCCAAAAGAAGGAAGCTACCAGGCTGCCTAAGGAGGGGGCAAATCAGAACAGGTCAGAAACAGAATGGGTCAAGCCTCCATGTTCATCAGTAGTGGGATGGGCCCATAAGTGTCTGTTGCATTTCCAACCTGAGCAAACAATCTCAAAAATAATAACAACACCCAAAACAACAATAAAAACACTAGGCAAACAAACAAATAGAATTTAGTGAGTGCGTAACTTCCACCATGCCATAAGTATGGCTTTTAATGACTTTATAGCTTAATCTCATCATTGGTAGTACAGGTGCCCCATGGAAATACACTATTCCACATCCCTAAAACTTACTGATTATAAAATGGGCATTCATACCTGGAAAGAAGAGGGGAGAAAGAGGATTGGGAAGAGAACAGACAATGGGTAAACAAATCCCAGTTGACCACACAGATGCTTCGTCACTTACCAGTAGTCTAGTTTCAGAGGTATGCTATCCAAGCTGCCAATCTGACAATAAGGCTCCATATTGGAGAGTTCATACAGCTGGATTTCACGATCTCTGTCCCAAAAATAAGCACATAAAAAGTAAACTACACACTTCTCATCTTAGCTCAGTCAAAAATAATTATACATTTGTAGGAGCAGACTCACATCTCTTCCACAAAACAGAAGAATTTGACCAATGAGAAGAAACTGTTTCTTCTCTCCACATTCTCTTAACAGACCTCAAATGTGTTCTCCTGGAGGCCATCCATTGACCACCCTGGCCTGATTTACCCTAACCCTTGCTTCCTAGACATATTCTTGTCCTATCTTGTTTCAGAGATGTACCGGCTACTTCATTTTTTATTGTGTTTTTCAAAAATGTAATTGAGTGAATTTGGTTCTTGTGCTAGGTTCCGAAATGATTCTACATGTGTTAAGGTTTTTACTAAGTAGTTAATGTTGGTGATGGTGATAGTGAAGTTTGTACAATGCTGAGAATTAAAATCCTCCACAAGCAGAGTAATGACATTGGGCATTTAAATAGCATTTTATAGCACTTTCATATATATATATATATATATATATATATATAACATACATATATATATATACATACATATATATACATACATATATATACATATATATGTGCATGTATATGCACACATACATGTACACATTACACACGTGCACATATGTATATGCATGTATATACATACCTGTATATATTGTATTGTACGTGCACACATACATGTATGTGTATATCTATATATTATACACACAAATATACATATATATGTATATGTATATATATACACACACACATATGTATATAAAATCTCATTTAACCTCACAACAAATGACCTCAGGAGGGAGGTATCACAAGAATTATTGCACTCATTTTACAGATAAGCAAAACTGAGGTCAAACAGGTTAAGGTTAAGTGAGCTGTCTAAGCTGTCCATAATAAGTGTCTGCGTCAGGACTAGAACCCAGGTCTTCTAGTTCCTATTTCCACTAGACCACATTGATGCTCCTGACAACATCTGAGCATCTTAACCTGGGGAACCGACCAATTCTCTTTCCTCCTCCCCAACCCCCATCACAAGCCCTTCTGATTGTTCTGCATCTAAAAATGATGCCTGCCATGGCAACAGGTTTTGCTGATGTAAAAGCCTGTGTGTGAAAGAAGAATATGAGGTACAGAGATCTACTCATTAAGATTGATGTTTCACTCTCTCAAGTGCAAAACTCATTGGCTTCCTTTGCCCTTGGTGTTAAATGCCCTTTCAGATTTCATTTCCAGACGGTGCTATGCTTCATCTGTAGCACTAAAGCCTGGTTGCATGGATACAGGTCTCTTGATTCTTTTCTTTTTTTTTCCTCCCTCTGTCTTGTCAGCTTGATGGGTCAGCCATTTCCATTAAAGCTTCTATTTCAATCACTGCACTTCTTTGTGAGAAAAGAACGAACAGTGCTCTCCACATGCATAGAGACGCACACATTCTCTCTCTCTCTCTCTCTCTCCCCCTTTTCTCCTCTCCCATCTCTTTTTCTCCTTCCCTCCCTCTCCGTTCATTTTCTCTCTCTCCCCCTCCTCTCTCTTCTCTTTCCCCCCCCGCTTCTCCCCCCTTCTCTTTCATTTCTTCTCTCTCTTTCTCCCCTTTCCCTACCTTTCTTTCTCTCTCCTTTCTCTTCTATCTCTTTTTTCCCTCTCTCCCCCTTCCTCTCTCTTCTCTATTCTGTCTTTGCTCTCTTGGTTTCTGTCTCTCTCCCTCCCACTCTCTTTCCCTTTCTCTCTTCCCTTACCTCCTTCTCTCTCTTCTCTCTCTCCCTCCCTCTCTCTATTCTCTCTCCTTTCTCATTTTCTCTTTCTCCTTCCCTCCTCTCTTCTCTCTTTCTCCCTCCTCTCTCCTTGCTTCTCTCTCCCTCCTTATGTCTCTGACTCTGTCTTTCAGTATCTCTCCCTTTCTTTCCTCTTTCCCCCCTCTTTGTCTGTCTTTCAGTTTCTCTGTCTCTCTGCCTCTCCCTTTGTCTCTGTCTCTCAGTCTCTGTCTCTCAGTCTCTCTCTCTCTCTCTCTCTCTCTCTCTCTCTCTCACACACACACACACACACACACACACACACACACACACACACACACACACAAAATGAGACTAATGTACCAGGTTGTTATTGCTTTCTAACAACTTATGCAGACTTAGACATTTAAATAAGCTCTGTGCCCTTCAAAGGGGTCATCTTGGGAGTCTGTACCTTTATTCCAGAGATGTTCGAAAGACATGGGGAACTCTCCTTCTGAGTCTGAAGCACATACTCTGAAATCTCCTCAATGGAAGTGCATTTAATTTTTTAAAACAGCTGAACACCATTCAGAGGCAAGTTTTTTGAATAATGGGGTGATAATGTTTGGGGTAAAAAATCTAGGTACGAATAGAAGATAAATGCAGCTAGCTTTTTCATATGGGCTGTCCATCGGCTCAGAACGTGAAACCAAAAAAAAAGTGTTCTGAAAATGTTTTAAGAGACAGCAGCATCATTGGAATTAGCTGAGAGTCATTGAAGCATAGGCCATCAGATCTGGAAAGGATCGTGGATGGAGGTCACTGAATCTAGCGCCTTCACATTAACGTTGAGGAAATTGAGGTCTAGGATGGGCAGAGAGGGAATAAGCATTTATTAACTGTCTGCTACATTGTGCTAAGCGCTTTACAAATATTACCTCATTTGATCCTCACAACAACCCTGAGAGGTTAATAATTATTAATATTCTTACATATAATATTAATACTATTAATAATATCCCCATTTTACTGATGAGGAACTGAAGCAGACAGAGGTTAAGTGACTTGCTTAGGGTTACACAGCTAACGAGTGTCTGAGGATGGATTCTAGAGAGAGGAAATAAATTGCCTGGAGTCATGCTCTGAAGGGAAGGGTCAGGAATAGAACTCTTGTTTCCAGACCCTTATTCTAGTGGTTCTTTCACTACAATGTCCAGGAAATTCTGCAATTTCTGGACCCAGCTGGCAAGACCTAATGATGTACAACATGTAACTGAGTTAGGTCTATCCCATGGCATTATAGGGTTAGAGGTGGAAGAAATTATGGAGGGAAATTAAGTCCCTGAGGAATAGAGGCCCATGAAAGGTTATGCTGTATGCCTAAGTCACATGGGGGGGTAAATAGCAGAGTTGGGGTTTGAACTTAGATAGGTAGATAAACAGACAGACAGACAGCTAGACAGATAGATTTTCTGAACTTAAAATTTCATCATTAGAGGGGTCCAGTATACTATGTGGAATATACGTGCATATACACGCATATGTTAAACGCACAGATCAACCTATACTTATGACCTTCATCCTTAAGAGTTCTGGCACTTACCCAGTCCCAACGAGCAGTTTGTTATACTGTGGCATGCTTATAAAATCCGTCACCCACTTAGATTTCCGGTTAATGGCTTTGTCCTAAAACATCAAAGAGCTTAATTATACCCCAATATATTTATTTTAAAGGACAGAACAGTTTCAGACATCACTGCAGACATTCTTATTTCTAAAACATATCCAACATCCAGGCTACTCATTTAATTGGTCTCCTTCAAGACAAAGAGGGCTATTAAATATTCTTATGGTCATAGGCAATACTCAGATGGATCTATGATCTCATCAGAGTGGACATCCTGATCTAGGTTGTACTTCCTCCACACCTGCCCATCTCATGTAACTCTCATCTATGTTCTCCCAAAATCTCTTCACAGAGGTTTGCTAAATGTGACAAGGACCTGCCTCAATTTCTCCTGATATTTCAGGGATACTCATTACTGAACTGGTTGTCCAACAATTAGTTACTTCTCAATATTGAACCAATCCATCTTTTTTAATCGTATACCTCCCATATGAAGCTCTTTACTCTAGCTTTTCTTTGAAGACACAAAGACGTTGTAAGGGAGCAATCACATGGGGAGTAGGGTAGAAGAAGTTCATGCTTGAGGTATAAGGTCTGGTCCTACAAAGAGCCTTAGAACCTGAGAGAGCCCTAGACCTTTTGGGGATCCAACTTGTAAACCTATGAACACTGAGTTGGGAAAGAAGCCCAGGGCATGTTTTATACCTATTCATTGTGTATTGACTCCTGTTCATACCCTCTTTACACCTTTCCGTTGCCCTCTGTATGATGCCCATTTTGGAACTCTCTAGTGTTCCATGATTCAAAACTATAGAATAGCAACAGTAGCATATTGGTATTAAAAAGATGAATTTTTATTTCTGGACGAAGTTGAGGCTTATTGAGAGAGCTTAGCAATTTCCCAAAGGTAATCCTGTCCATTCTAATCTTCCTGTTTGATTCTGGGCCCAACTCATTGTCCACTTATGCTATCTGTCTAAGATGTAGATATGTACGTGCATTATATATGAACATAATACATATATGGATATGTGTCTATATATTTATGTGTGTTTGTGTGTGTGTGTATATGTATGTGTGTGTGTGTGTATATATATATATATATATATATATATATATATATATAGAGAGAGAGAGAGAGAGAGAGAGAGAGAGAGAGAGAGAGAGAAAGTTGTATTACTTTATATGTAATAAACCCTTAGACTCTTGGAGGAGACTGACCTAACATAGATTTTCTCTCTCCAATAAGGACAAAACAAGCAGATAGTGACTTGAGCTGTAGCAGGAGGAATTTAATATTATATCTGAAGAAGAACTTGCTGAGTATGAACAGCACTACCTTAGTGGGCTAGGTTGCTCAGGGACATTGGGGAGAAGTAGCTTCTATGGAGGACTTTGGAGAAAGGATAGATTCTAAGGTAGTTTTAAGTACAATCATGTTTGAAGGCTGGAGAATAGTCCAAATGAACTTCTAAGATCTTTTCATCTTCAAACTCTATGATTCAATAATAAATTCCCTGAAGAGAAATTCTGGCAAATAGCTAGCTATGCTTGAAATGACCATTAAGAAGAGAAAAAATTGAGGATTCTTTCCATTTGTCTATTCTTAAGACATATGATAAATTACACACAGTCCCATCATGTGTAATGTATCACTCAATCTGATTTTATAAGTGAAACGAAGCATTATCTTGTACTACACACTGAGCTCATCCTTTAGTTGGCGTTCTCTAGACTGCCACATTCCTATAGGAATATATTATATTCAAGGACACTATTCATGTAATCATGCTACTTAAAAAGCAGTTTAAAATTGAAAATAAAATCAAACTGTCGTACTCAGCATCCCTATCAAAGGAAAATCACATACGAAAACCAGCTTTCTTCTTTTCAATGTCAGCTGTGGCGACCAGAAAGAAATGACTCCATGTTCTCCCATCATGATTAAAGTATCATCAGGCAGAGAGAAAATTCGAAGGACAGGCCCACTGTGAGATAGCCCCTGGGACAATGCAGGCATGGCAAAGTAAACCTCTTTCTGCCGGGCCAATAAGCCAGACTGTTCTGAATACTCTAGCTGTAGGTAGGTACAGAAGTCATCCTAAAAAAAAAAAGGGAATTATATATCAGCCATCTTTCTGGCTCCCACACATTCTCTTCATCACTGAGTCTTGGAAGACATTGCCTTACGGCCTTTGCTTGCCATTATATTACCAGCATTAACTCATTAGCATTGCTGCCAACATTACTGGGTTAAAAGATGAGGTGTCTCTTTAAAACTGGCCTCTAGCTACTTTCAACTCATCTTTCTCTCCATACCCTGCCCCCCATATCTCTCCATTTTCTTTAAAGGAAACTCAGACTCTTAGGAAGATATTAAGATATTGGAGAAAAATGACCCAGATCCACTTACCTACATATACTCTCACACTCTGGCTCTGGAATTACTTGAATGCCAAATACTCACCCATGAGGAAACTACTCCCAGAACTATGCCATGTAGATGTGATAGACTACAAGCTGCTTGAAGGCAGGAACTGTTTTACTTTTGTCTTTGTATCCTCAATGCCTAGAACACTAATAGATACCTAGTTATCACTATCCTAAGGATGAGAATTTGAGGGTGGGCATCAGCACTAGGGTCCAGTGTGCCCTCAACCACACCAGCTGGAGGTGTGGACTTCCATGGGCTGCCTCCACTCTCACTTTCCCCAGGTTCTTCTAAATCAAGCTTCATGTTATGGGTAAACCAACACTTGGGGCATCTGTACCTGGAAAGTCACCTATGGATGGACTGCTATAAATCTACAGGTCAAACATATCCCAAATTGCCTATGGAAGTGTACTTCCAATTCTGTCCACTGATTTACATCATATCACTCTAACCGTTCTCTCTCATCCTCATTCCCATTCTATTTCTCTACTCCTACTTTTTTTTTAACAACCTCAATGACCATTCTACGTTGTTGTTGTTCAGTCATTTCTGTTGTGATTGCTTTGTGACTTTATTTGGGGTTTTCTTGGCAAAGATACTGGGGTAGTTTGCCATTTCCTTCTCCAGTTCATTTTACAGATAAGGAAACCAAGGCAAACAGGATTAAGTGACTTGCCCAGGATCACACAGCTAGTAAATATCTGATGCTGGATTTGAACTCATGAAGATGAGTCTTCCTGTCTCTAGGCCTGGTGTTCTATCTAACTGTACCATGTGCCATCACAAACATACCCAGTACCTGGCTTCCTAACATGCCTATTCCATCGCTTACTGGTCAGGAGAATGGACTGGTCATCCCTTTGTAACCTCGGCTACTAGTTGCTACTTCTTTGAAGTCTATCAGAAAGGAGGAAAATGTATCACGGCAGGAAGAATTGAAAGAGATACACAGAAAAATGACGATTGTCTGAAGAATCGTGGTACGTTGTTAAGAGCACTGGAATTGAAGTCAGAGGGCCTGGATTCAAATCCCACTTCTGATCCTGGGGCAAGTGACTTAATCTTCCTAGGCCTCAGTTTCTTTTAAGTACCTTTTATTAAGTTAATAAATATTTTTTAGTTGAATTAAATCCCAAGCTAGTAATACAAAAGACATGTGTCTGTGACAGCTGGTATTGCTCTTAAAAGGTATCAAATTGGCCTACCATCATGTTCGCTGTTATTTACATTCAAGATTGCCAGTAGGTGTGGAGACCCCTTTCGTAGACTGTCCTTGACTTGAAGTCTTGTCCCAAGATATAGATGTCCTAGTTTTACTGTTATAAATGCAATGAAGATCAGAAGCCTGTGCAGACACCATCAGTTTGCTAAAATGGTGTCATTCACGTGGAAGACATTGGGGACTTGCAGCAAAAGCCCAAGCAGGCTCTGAGTCAAGCTCTTTTAAAGATGATAGCTCTGGCCATTCAGTCAATAGAAAAAGGCAGCTCTCAACCATGTGGTAGTCCAATAGATAGCGACCATGAATGCTCAGGTCCTCCAGTCTCCCAGAAACAGGTTCCATATGAATGATGCTATTTTAGCAACCTGATGGTGTCTGCAAGTGCATTTTGCTCCCCATTATATTTATAACACCTACAAAGTTTTTAAACTATGAGGCTTATAGATTTAGACCTGAAAGGACCATTAGAGGTCACATAACACAACTCCTTCATTTTGCAGATGAGGATAACTGAGGCGTAGTTATCACAGGTAGAGCAATTTGCCCAGAATCACTCAGGCAGTAAGAGAGCCAGGATTTGCTTCCAGGTCAACTCCAAGTTGGCATGGGTAGGCAAGAAAGAGTCACTGTCAAGCCTTCACAACTCTGTATGTTCCATGAAGGAGGAAGAGAAGCAAAGCTAAAAATCCCATTTGGAGCTCTGTACAACTTGAAATTTGTCTCACAAAGCACAAACTAACTTACCCACCGAATTCCACCAGTTGCCGCATAATCTATTTTCATGAAAAGTTGTTCTATTTGCTCATTACTCTAGAGACAGAAAAATCATAATCGGTATATGCAGACTACACAGGAATAAAATATGTCTACTAAGGGGAAAAGGAGGCATTTAGCTACCTTCATTTCTCTTGTTTATGAATTTCATCTATTTTTAAAGAGTACCTCTTACTCAAAAAGTCTCTAGATGTGTGTTCTAAAACATTAATATGGCAATTAACCTGACTCTAGTGCATGGGAACAAAAATTCTTCCCTAGTGAAAGACCTAGTTATAGCCTCTAACTATATGGAGGGGAGAAGTGGAATCCTTGGTATGCACTCACACCCAAAAATATCCTCGGAAAGGCAGCTTCAAATGGGATGCAAGCTAGCATAGGGATTCCTCTGGAAACAGACCTTTGACATGGCCAGGTCATTTGCCTTACTGCTTTCCCTACTCAAGGGAAGTAAACTGGAAAACAAATGGCAGGCTTGGGTTTGTTTTTGTTTTATTTTAACCAGCCCGAGGAAAACGAGGGTATTGGCAAGGGGAATAACTTAAAACAGGCATGACACACAATCCAATTCTAGTGGTCATGAGTTGAGGCACTGGTGACTGACTTGCAGAGTAAATTTCCAGAACTTTAAATTAAGTTCCAGTAGAAAAAACAACAGCAACAACAACAACAACAAAAACCAAAGAAACCACCTCCAGAGGTAATAGAGCCGCCCCACAATAAGTATTTGTTGAATGAGAGGTAGCCAGGTAGCACAGCAGAGAGAGATTTGGGCCTTGAGACAGGGAGACTTGTGTTCAAATGCAACCTCAGAAGTTATACTAGTTGTGTGACCCTGGGCTGGTGATTAACCTCTACAAGGCTCAGTTTCCTCATCTCTAAGATGAGGGGATTAGCTTTGATGTCCTCTAAGGTACCTTCCAGTTCTAAATCTCTTATCCTATGAACTAAAGGAACAGATGACATAGCTTCAAGAGAATGAGCCCTGGATCCTGGCATCTTATCAGAAGAGCACAAATACTGCTAGGATAGTCCTAGTCCAGGACATGGGATCCCAAGCTCTTCCTCTGTAACTAACAAGTAGAATCAGAGAAGTTTTGAAAACCACAAGGAAACAGTACAAAAACTCTATTGAACCCTGAAGCTTCCCAGCAGAACCCAGGACAAAAAGGCATTAGGCATGGTCCAAGCAGTGTGGTACAGTGGAAAGAGTGTTGGAATGGGAATCAGGTTCTGGGTTTGAATTCTGCCAATTTACTACTTGTCTGACAAGTCACTTAACTGAGTTTTCTTTTCTGTAAAATGAGGGTGGGTTGGAATTTGATGGTCCCTAGGATCTCTTTTAATTCTAAATCTATGAACCCATTATCCCAAGTACAACTAGGGTCAATGAGACTAGGACCCATAGATAGAACATTCACTAACATAAATCCTTATGGTCCTCCAACAGAGAGAGAGACTTTATAATAAGGGATCATAGGATTTAGAGCTAGAAGGAGTCTTAGAGGTCTTCTAGTACAAATGAGGAAGCTGAGGCAGAGAAGTCAAGGAACTTGTCTAAGGTCACAAAGGTTAATTGTAGTAAAGCCTGGATCTTTGTGCAATTATGATTCCATACAGGTAACCCTAGTTCTGCATTGCCCCATGATCTCTCACACAAGAGTTTCATTATATCATCCATATACGTATGAGAACCAAAGTCCAGGATATTAAACAGAAGACATTATCAGCCCCACTCAATCATTGCTGGCTCCTGGGCACTCGCAGGACCATCACCCTAAACCCTAGAAAAGCCATTTAGACATTGCATGGGCCAGATAGCATTGCATTGCATCTTGCATCAACTGTACTGATGGCACAAGTATAGTGTGTCAGGTAGATAGTCCATTATTGCATATTAGGAATACTTGGATTCTGCAGGGATGCTGGTTAGAACTTATGACAGTTTGAAACTCTTCAAGGCTAGAGAGCCATCTTGGTTGCTAACCAGCCCTGGAGTTCAGAAAGTCCTGAAGCTGAGAAAGCAGGAGATGAAGTAGGTCAATTCCAACGTTTCCTGATAGGTCTGTAACAGGCTACTCTATGGAACTGGATGATCTAAAGAGATTTTTTTCACTAATTCACTTTCTTTTGGGGTACTTTCTTTGGGTGCTTGGAATTTTGATATTTCCCCAACTTCAGAAATAATTCAGTGGAAACTTGGAAACTTATAATCCCATTTCTTTCTCATTTTTTGTCAGCATGCTTTCTCTGTGTGATCATGCTGTTGGATTTATTAGAACTAATTCCCTCATACAAAAGTAATTATTTGGTAAATTAACATATTTGTCTTTGAGTTAAAATTTCTCCAAAGCAATTCATTTATTTTTTAAGCCAGTATTCAATGAATATTCACTCTTATTATCAAGGAGAAAACTATGTATGGGAAGTATTGGGCATAATTTGCCAAACTGCACTATTGCCAAGGTCAAAAGACCCAAGTTGTGAATAAGTGAGAAAATATGCTAACAAGCCAGTCTGAATTGTACTATTTCCTATCCTAGCTACAGCTAATAGCCTGGTAGGTTGGTGCCATGGTCATCTTCCTGTCTCCATCTTCCATTATAGAGTCTTGGAATGCTATTCCCAGAAAGTCAACAAACTAAGTCTCTATCAGGAACACATACCCCAAAAGAACCTTCTGTGATTTCCTTACAGAAGAGCTTTGCAGCATCAGAATTAAATGTAGAACAAATAGGGAAATGAAGGCTGACTATTGGGCTGTCTACTCCGTATAATCACCATTCTAAATTACAACAGTTACTCAGAAGACTGAGAAATAGTGTATTCATCTTAGCTCCACTGTCTTACTTTAGGTTACTGCTCACCCTAATATTTTTATCAATTGATATAATTAGATGGTAGTATCCTGCCAGATGAGTACTGTATATTGCCATTTTGATTGCATGTACTGTTAATGAATAGTTGTTTTATTTTGCTTTCAATAATATCATATGTTGGTTATCTAAGATGATTTAAAAAAAAACACCTTTGTGATTTTAAAGCACTAATGTTTGTACTGATGCTCAAGTTTACCCCTAGCTAATTTTTGAAAGGGACCACAAAAATTTTTGGCTCAGGGCAGAAATGTAGCCTGGGCTTCCAACCAAGCCTAGAGCATTTTGTAAGAGATCCTCCTAATTCATGGAGAGAATGCTTATGTAGTGCTATGTGCCTTTTATCAGGGGCAAAGTTGGTATAAGAACTATGGAGAGTAGAGAAATTTTTCATGCTGTCTTTGAGAATAGACATGTAGTGCTCTTGGAGACCAGCTCTAGACTTATGGAAAGATAGCAAATATGTAAGGGAAGCTAATTCCTTAAATTGTTCCTAATTTTCAGTTTGCCATTAAGACTTTGGGATACTTCTTTTTGAGTGAGACTGGGGTCTCTCTCTCTCTCTCTCTCTCTTGTTTTGAGTTGAAATACTTCTCTCTCAACTGAAGAGCTAATTCACTCTGTGTATTTTCTGGCATATTCTCATCTATATAACTTCTCTGATTTCTGTTTGCTATTTTCTTGGATAAATGGACTTACTTCATATTCACTATTTGTGACAGTCTTTCTTGTAATTAGTATTTGGTAGAAAAGATTCAAAATGGCAAATGTAAAATAAGGGCTATCCTCTCCCTTACAAGGGATAATGGTCAGAAAAACCTACCAGCTTTTTGTTCTGAACTTAAGTACCCCTACTCTAGTAATATGGGTGGTGGAGGTGGAATATGTGTGTGTGTGTGTGTGTGTGTGTGTGTGTGTGTGTAATTCTAGCCTAATATTTCTTCTCTCAGAGAAAAACAGATTGTGGTCTCTTTTGGAGAGGGCAAGACTCCAGAGATAACTATCAGTGTCTTCTGTTGAACCACCTGACTATACATTTAGACCTGCCATGTGAATCTATACATCTAATATGGAAAAGCACATATTTTACATATATGTCATGGACTTCCTGACTGGTCAATAACTCTCCCCTCTTCTGTCCCCAAATACACTGAGGCATTTAAAAGTCTGGAGCAGGTTGCTGGGTTTGGGGTCCTTCAAAATTTGTCATTTTTTTAAAAATTTTATTTTATTTTCATTTAAATACTCTGTGCTCTTCCTATCAAGTACAAGCTGCTTGAATGCCTAGGTTATTTCATTTTTCTCTTTGTAGCCCCAGCACCTACCAACAGGAACATAATAAATGCTTGTTGATGGGCCAATTGATTCCATTTTGTAATTCTTTCACTTAGTTTTTCATAAAAGAGGAAAATTTTTAAAAAATGAAAAATGAGAATAGTTTAAAGAATATATCTTGCAACAAATTGGAGCCACAAAAACACTGACTTAAAACTGAAATTCCAATTCAACTGTGCAATTCAAATGTCTTGTTCTAAGTGAAAGACAATGGACAAATCTTTTACTTCAGGATTCTTCAAGGGTATATTCTTTCAGCTTCTAGAAGTAAGGTCACAGAACTGGATATTTTTTTTCCTTATAATTAAAATTTTATCATGTAGCTATACAGGGAAAAATTAAAAAGCCCCACTTCCTGGGCAACATTTACTCTTATGAAAACACAGCAAAAATCTCGTTAATTTAGACCAGCAGTTTTCAAAGTATGGCTCTCTTGGGGGTCCCCAAGACCCTTTCAAGGGGCCCATTTGATCAAAACTATTTTCATAGTGATGCTAAGATATTTTAATCTCTAATATGGTAAATATTGATAGATATAGCTCACAGAAACAAAAGCTCTTTTTGGAGGAGGGATCCTCAATAATTTTTAAGAATATAAAGTGGTCCTGAGACCAAAAAGTTAGAGAACTGCTGATTTAGACTACTCATTTGGATTGTGAGCTTTTGTAGTGTGGGTGGGGTGAAGTCTACCTTTTCCCAGAAAAAAACCTTTCTTCCTTATTTAACATGTAAATTAGATTACAAGAGGATTATTAAAATACTTAAACTTTTCCAGGACCTGAAAGCACTTCAGAAGGACCCACTTACCTAAAAACAATTAGTATGCTAATTACAAACCAGTCCTTAGAGGACTCTAGATCTCTAAGGACTTCTAAGCTGCTCTTTATTACCCTAGGCAGTATTTATGAAAAAAGCAATGATTTCATTTCTTTTAAAAAACATTCTACAGTTTGAACTATGTGTTAATTCAGGCTTGTCTAAGTACATAAAGACCCTATAATTGTAATGGAAAGAGGCCTTAGAGAGACAATGTGGCATTATATATAATGGAAAGAGAACAGGACTTGAAAAGTCAAGAGACCGGGTTCAAATCCCAGCCCTGTCACTTACTAGCTCTGTGACCTTGGACAAATCACTTAATCTCTCTCAGTCTCAGTTTCCTCATCTTAAAATGGTGAGGTTGGATTACAAGGCTTTTAAGGTACCTTGGAGCTATAAATCTATCAAGTTGGGCCAATCACTGACCTTTTTTACCTCAGTGAGCCTTTTTACCTCATCTGCAAAATGAGGTTTGATTACATGATCTAACACAGGTTCCCAAATTGGGTGATCCCACCCCCTGCAGGGCGCTGGAATGATCCAATAGGGTGGTGGTAGCCTTGGGTGCAATTGGGGGGCATTGAATAAAAATAAGGGGGTGGTAGAAGCATAAGGAAAGAAGAGAAGAAAATCTTGAAGAACCGTTCCTATGTGTTTCATCTGTTGTGCAACAGAATTAAAGTAAGTCGTACTGATTACATTATTTTCCAAATAAACACATAAAATGCAAGTTATAATCAAATCAGTGGTCAAGTCTGCCCATAGGTCCTAACAAGCAAGTGTTGGCAAGTGAGTGTGTCATGGCATTGTCAGGAAGTCCAGCATTCATCAGTGGAAATATATTCCTGTAATGATTTGTTTATTATACAAAACTATACAGTTATATGATACAATATTGCATCATCAAAATTTCAATACAGGAAAAAAAACTACAAATTTACAATAAATTATCAAATTTAAGGTGTCATTTAAAAATATATGTATTTTATATCCTTTTGAAATGACACAAATTTCAAAAAAAACACATTAAAGCATTAAAGAAAGTAGATTTCCAAGTGGGTGCTGAGTAATTTTTTTTTTTGAAAAGGGTGCTGTAGGCCAAATAAATTTGGGAACCTCTGAGGTCCCTTATGGCTTTACTATCCTACAAGCATGTAGTCTAGGTCAATTAGGTTTGGAGTTTCAGTCCTCCAACTTTAGAAAATACACATTTACTTTGTTAGGTGACTTCACACACTTCTTCATTATCCATATGAACGTGTCCGTGTCCAAGAACTTTCGGCCTCTTTTTTCAAATTCCTAGAAGTAAAGGACAGTGAGCTAGGAGAGCTAAGCAATGACCATCTGTTTGGTCTAGGATCCAGCCTCTGACTCTGATGTATTCAACTAAATGGACTAGCTTTCCACTTCTGAAATGCTATCATCTCCTTAGATGAAGTTTCATGATGTTTCTATGTCCTGGCAGTAAACAAAGAAGTCCTTTACAGCAGAGGGGTCAAACTCACGGCCTTGTGCTTTTACAACACTCTCAAGTTGCAGTAAAATATTTAACAAAATAAATAAAAAATATAATGAAACACAGATAATGTTAATATGTGGTTTTCTAAATCAATATGCTATAGCAGAGATCCTTATGTAGGTTTGGTGGTCCCTATTTCTATTTGAGTTTGATACCCCTGATTCAGTAGGGGCACCCCATAGCATGGCCATGTCTCACCTTCCCTCCATACTCACAAGGCAATGAGGATTCCTTCTTCATTTCTATTTTGAATTTTAGCTAGTTTTGGCTCCAATATCAAAAGACAGGAAAGAAGACCACTTGCCTAACAAGTTTCCAAAGCTTCCACTGGACAGTTCCTACCTGAAAGGCTATGTTTAGTTTTTTCAGATCTTCCAGGGTCACTTGATGTTCAATCTTGTTGAAAGAAAAAGAAGAGAAATTTTTAAAAGAATGATGAGCAGTAATATTTTGTTAATGAAATACATATTATATAATACATTACATTTGTTAATGAAATACTGGTATGCTACATAAATGCTTGTTGATTTTCTATAAAATGCCATAAATTGTTCTTTTTTTAATAATTATGTATAGCATTGTAAGGTCAGATTAGGATATTCTGGCAAATTTTCCAAAAGGGCCTCTCAATTTCCTTTGTTTCCATTTTATTCACTAGTCTCAATTCTATTACAAAAGTCCTACTTCTCTCCTTTAACTGGGGGGGAATGGCAGAGACTGCACTAGGTATGGAAAAGAGAGGGAGAGAAAAAAGAGAAAGGACAATGAGAGGGATGGAGGGATGCTGAAGACTCTTTTGCATCTCATCCACCATAGAAATTCTCTTTGCCACCAGTGACCTTGTATCTGAACCACTCTCTCCTGCCACGTTGCCTGAATTCATCTTACCAAGCATTCTATCTCTGGGGATTTGTAGTCTTCCCCTTTGAGCACTGGAACCAGAGCCATATCAAACACCAGTACATTTTCTCCTAATAAGAACTAAAATGTATGGCGTGCTTTACATATGATATCTCATTAGAGTCTTGTAACAACCCTGTATAACAACCCATAGAGATGACAGGTATAATCAAGTCCATTTTATAGATGAACAAAATAAGGCTGAGAGAGATTACACGATTTGCCCATGGTCACACAGCCAAGTAGGTGTCAGAGACGGGGTTTGAACTTGGGTATTCATAACTCCAAATCCAGCCCTTTATCCACTACATCATGATACAGAAAGGAGGGGAGGAAGAGAGGAGAAAAAACTGAATGAATAAAAAAAGCATTTCTCAAACAATTCCTGTGTTCCAGGCACTGTTCTAAGTTCTTTGGGTGCAAATACAAAAGAGAGAGCCCCTGACTTTAAGGAACTGTCCTTTTGATAAGGGGAGACAACACACATAGGGAAATGGTAGCTAAGAAAAGTTGTTTTGGTCTAGAAGTCATTGGGATGGTAAGTAGATCTGAAGTTAAGTTGATTCACAAAGCCCTTTTCTAGAAGCAATCATATGGTTGTTTTGATTACTATACCCAGAGCAAGAAGTGAAGGGAACTTGTATGAAACTTGGCAGGAAGATGGTGAGAGGATCTGGGGCCGAACTATAACGGGATCTCACCAGGAGTGTGCTGGTATAAGTGCTTAATGCTTGCCAGAAAAAAAAAAAAAAGAAAAAGAGAAAATACGCACAAAACACTTTTAAGTTTAATCTGAATTACTAACATTTTCTTCATCACTTTCTCAAGATAGTCAACAAAACAATAAACCAAGCATTGATGTATAGTGTTTGCCAATTTCTGAGGTGTAAATGCTCACAGTGAAAACTTAACAATTAGTTCTCAAGAGCAGAATCCAGCTAGCTGCAGCACACCTCTGGATCTCACTAAAAAGGGCAGCAAGGCCTTCAGGGTAGGTGTTGCTGCAGCCAAGGTGAAAGGAGGAGTGGGAGAAGTGGGAGGAGAAGGAAGAAGAGGATAGTGAGAAAAAGGAGGAGGAGGAGAAGAAAGGAAGGTGACATGTGTAGGACTTGACACTTGACTAAGAAGCAAAGTAATATAAATATTGCTCCCATTTTACTGATTAAGAAACCTCAAAGAACTTAATTGACTTGCCCAGAGTCATACATCTAAGAAAGTAGCAAAAAAACTCTCACCCAAACCTTTTGACTTTCAGAATCCAGAGTTCTTTTCACTACTATTGTTTCTTTTGTCCTTTATGGATATCAAAATAAAGAGATCAACCCTGGACTCTTCCATGCAAATGGTTTTGTTTAGGTCATTTGCAGCTAGGTCCTGATTAGTGAGAACAATGAATATCATAAAGCAATGGCATTTTTTGAACCCAACTGCAGATTTCCATTGAACTGGAACCAATGACCATATTTTACATAATTATAGCATCTAATAGTATAAATTCAAGTACACATGACCACTTCATGGGATTCATTGTTCTCACTAATCAGGACCTAGGAGAAAGAAAGAAAGAAAGAAAGAAAGAAAGAAGAAAGAAAGAAAGAGAGAGAGAGAGAGAGAGAGAGAGAGAGAGAGAGAGAGAGAAAGAAAGAAAGAAAGAAGAAGAAAGAAAGAAAGAAAGAAAGAAAGAAAGAAAGAAAGAAAGAAAGAAAGAAAGAAAGAAAGAGAAAGGAAGGAAGAAAGGAAGGAAGGAAGAGAGAGAGAGAGAAAGAGAGAAGAAAGGAAGGAAGAAACAAAAAAAACCTTAAACTAAAAGATTGAGTCCTAAATTAGCCCTAGTGCTATTATACCAACTCCTGTGTAACTAAGGAGCAGGCCTTACTAGATTTATTTCCTCATTTATAAAATGAATGAGCTAGAATTTTCAATTTGCAGGGCCCTTCCAGTTCCCAAATTCTGTAGTCATCCTTATACCACACTAGCTTATGCGGACAGAAAATCCTCAAACTGCTGACTTTGAAGAAATAAATTGTCACTGGGGGATCTATCTAGCTCACCCAGGCTATAAAGTTAGGCTTCCGTTATTTCTACCATCCCATCCCAGCTCAGTCCAAGGCAGCCCAAGGCAGAAGAGGCTAGAGAATGTGGAAATTGTTCATTTCACCAGCAAGGTCATTTTCTGAAAGCTGTGTGCTTGTTATCACAGTCCCCACAGGGAAGTGGTATTTACTCAATGATCCCAAGACCAAATCTGAAGCTATTAGTACATTCATAGTCTTGCAAGAGCGAAGCCATTTATGAATCCCTTCTCAAAGGACTAAGTTGAATTTCCTCTCCTTCCCCCAAAACTCCCATGATGTTTATCACACCAGTGTTCTTAATTGCTGCTTAATAAATACTCATCGAGGAACAAAACCAGCTGTTTCCCAAGTAAAAACAGCTGTACTATTGGGGTTCAGAGAAAAGAAAAGGCAGCACTGAGGTTTCTACTTAAAAGTGATATGCCAACCACTTTGGGGTGAGAGGAATTCAAGAGGAAAGATTAAAGGAGTTGGATTGGGGGAAGGGCCTCAACTTTACTCAAGTGTGGAATGTGAAAGGTTATGATGTGATACTGATGGGTTCTTTCCCCTGACATAAGAAAAGCATTACCAGAATCAGAATTCAAATGGACCTTGGACCAAGTTTTATGCACAGTCCAAAAAAACAGCTTATGGCTTAAGCCACACTAACATCTGGTTTCGAACACAGTACATATGAGAAAAATCAGTCTTTGTTCTAGGTTTTAACAAGGGGCTGGCTGGAGGCTTTGAAGAGGATATGACTTCTACTCATGAGTCTTAAGATATGAAAGGCCCAGGAAAAGACAGAAATATTGGCGGTGGAGAGAGACAACTATTTCAAGAATTTCTCACTCCTTTCTTTGAAACTGAGTGGTATGGGGAAGTGTATGAGTGATGGTGTGTTTTTCTAATTTTTTTTTAGAGATTTCACATCTTTAAATATACGAAATATCATAACTCTATTAACAAACCAAAATATACACAATTGATTTTATATGCCTAAAATAAAACATGACTTTAGCTGTTTACACTCTAAAATGCATTGCTTGTTGACTGTGAAGTCAGAGAACCTGGGTTCAAATCCCATTTATGATGTTTGCTACCTATATGACCTTAGACAAGTTACTTAATTCCTTTGGGCTTCAGTTTCCTCATCTGTAAAATGGGGGGGGGAGGTTGAATACCTTTGTAGCTCTAGGTCTTTGATTCACTCATCTTTCCTCCTTCCTTATCTCTACCCTTCCCTTGTTCTAACATGATTTCCAGAAATTTCATTTCATTTCATCTATTTTAATTCCAAACTGCCAGAAATTTGACACCTCTAATCAAGTTTCTTCCACGCCTTGAAATCATTTCACCTTGCTGTGTCATAACTGCAGTGGAAAGATTACTGATTCTGGAATCAGAATACCTGGGTTCAAATCCTACCCCTGACACTTTCCCCTACATTTCCTACAAGCTGCTTAACCTTCACAGGCTCCAGTTTCCTTATCAATAAAACAAAGGGGTTGAAGTAATGAGCCCCTGAAGTCCTTTCCAGCTATAAATCTATGAACACATTCCTACTTGCCTGCCATCCTAGCGGTGGAAAGATAAGGCCACCACATCTTATTGGTCTTGATGTCACAATCAAATGTGGAGTGGTAAATAGCCTCAGCATCATATGAACAGCAAGCCCAGGTGTGGGAAGAAAGTCCTGGACATACATAACGGTGCACTTATGTGCAGTAAAGTGCTTAGAGCCGCCTAGCTGAGCTCTGCTTTCCAATCTCTCCCCCTCCAATCCCTCCTCCACAGAGTTGCCAAAGTAATCCCCTTAACAGATAGGTCTGGCCACAGCATGCCCCAGCTCAGGGATCTTCAAAAGCCTCCTGTTTTCTCTAAGGGAAACGCCTTTGCTGGGAGTTTAAAGCCCTATAAAGTTAGACTCCGTGGCAGGTAGTCAGCAAAGTAGATAGAGCATTGGGCCTGGAGTCTTGAAGATTCATCTTCCTCATTTCAAATCTAGCCTCAGATACTGACTAGCTGGGTGATCCTGGGCAAGTCACTTAACCCTGTTTGCTTCAGTTTCCTCATCTGTAAAATGAGCTGGAGAAGGAAATGGCAAACCACTCCAGCATCTTTACCAAGAAAACCCCAAATGGGGTCATGGAGAGTCAGACACCACTCAGCAACAACAATAAAATCTCCAGCCTATCTTTCTAGAAATTTCACATTAAATCCTTTTCAGGATTTTGGCCTTTTCTACATTTCCTACTTGCTATTTCCCCAATGTAAAATTTTATGTCTTGCCTCTGTGCTTTTGCCTGGGCTGTGCCTTCTCTCACCTGCCTTTTAGAAACTTTAGATTCCTTCAGGGTTCAACTCAGGTGTTGCTGCCTCCTAAATAAGGCCTTTTCTGACCCTCTCCCACCACAGTTGTTAGTATTTTCTTCCTCC